ACAATGGTGGATCAAACAGCGAACATAATGCATTGCAATGAACTTAAATTGTCAGAAGTCCGATAGGACTCAAAGAGGCCTAAATGACCAATATACTAAAGCAATTTGCCCAAGTCCGGTCAAGCTAACCTAGCCCTTTGCATAAGGCGCTACGTCGGATGGGAAGCATTAGTAGCCAAAAGACCGCCTAGTTGGCCTTGCGAGCTCGCTTACTTAAAATGGCATGCCAATGGTTTCCAATTGAAATCGAATGTGCTCATTACAATATTATATATTGTGAAGAATTTTTTGTCAGTAAAACTATCAGACCTTTGATAGTCCTTCTCTATTTTGTGAATCAGTCATATCTAACCACTCTTTTTAGGTAGATGTGTTGCGGGCTTCGAAAATTCATGCCCTCAGTCTTGTTAAAAGTTTTTTTTTTTTAAGTTCATGTTCAAAATTTTAAAAGGCATATTAGGGTTTTAGATAAAACACTACCCTTAGATTTCACCCCTATTTTGTGAGGACTTTAAAATATGGGGTTCGAGGTTTCTCATAGGCTCAAGCTTCTATTATTAATTACATCTCTGAATAATGAGAGAACAAATTTGATTAAGGCTATACATTATGCGCTAAATATTCATCACATAGTAACAACAAACTTAAATTTTAGGTTATATGATTTATCAAATTGAGCTTAAAGTAGATGGTGGGGGAAATGATGACGAACTTGATCAAAATTTTATAGTTTTGTCGTGTCATGTCATTGATGTGTATAAAATGTGTTACATGTGTATATGTGAATTATAACATTTTTATGTATCATTTTCAATTTTTTTTTTGATATGTATAGTGTTATTTTCAGGATAAAGGTTAAGATTGAGAAATTGAGCACTTGGGAGCATCAAATGTGCTAAGGCAAGTTCAAGTGTCTCATTGCCCCAACATGGCGCATAGACGTCTGGTGAAAGTCCTCTTTATGTAGAAAAATAGAGGACAACATTCCAGTGTCATTTAAATAGCAAAGGCATGCCTAGCATCAACGCCGCATCACCAGCATCCCCAACACCTTGACACCTGATGCCCTAATTCAACACCTAGTTCCACCAGGCCTACACCTAGCACCCTAACACCACCTGGTTAGTGTCGTTACGCTTCTCATTGACTTAGATAATTCTTGGGTTCAAGCAATCCAAAGGCTTAAATTCATGCCACCTTCATTTGGGAGGGCATTCAAACCTCAAGAAAACTTTGAATCCGACAAAGAACAGGACAGGAGGAGAGTGTGTGTGCATGTGAGTGTGTGTGAGAGGTTTATTTGTATCGAGTTATAGTGAATTGAAGTGTGATTTCATTATAGAGAAAGAATCATGGTGGGGCAAAACAAGAATCATATCAGGTTTGATTTTTCTTTATTTGTGCAAACTTTCATTTTAGAATTCAAATGAAATTTATTTGGTTTTCTTTCTACATGTTTAGTAACTAAGTGGGTCATGCTTCTTTGATTTAATAGTATGATGATTCTTATTTAATCAATGATACTTTTTTAGAGTATTTTGATCCAAGTTGGTGTGATGATCTTCTGAATTTAATTTACTTTCAAATTGATGACTTAAAGAATTTAAAATCCTTGTGATCTAGGACAATTAATTGTAGATTAGAAGAACAAGTAAGTTAGCACTCAATCACTCAGTGAAATATAAATATTTTTAATAGAAGATGCAATCACGGAATAAGGATTTGATACATCTAAAATATATAGTATTTATATACACATTTTATACATATTTTTTTGAGATATTGCACTTTAATGAAAGATATTTGTGTGTTTTTCTTTCAGGTATAATCAAATGGTGAAATGAGTGAAAAATGATCAAATTTGGAGCAAAAATAAAAAAGGTGTGAAATTGAACTGAGGCGCCTAAACGCCAAGGACTGGTGCTTACGCGTCAGTTAAACAGAGAAAATCGTGTTTAAGCGTCAGCTAAACAGAGAAAGTAATTTGTTTTAATTTTTGAAAAAAATGAGACAAAATAGATCTCATTAGTCTAATGGTTTGCATAATCGTGTCTGATAACGCGAATACTACATCTTCCCAAAAGATAAATGTATACTTTGGCGATTGACCCATCCTGCAAACTAAGAGATTTGGGACATCTGTTTGGCTTGCAAACCTTTTATGTGTGACTGTCAAGTTTCCCTACCTAATATAAAGATTAAGTAGGTTTTATTTTACTGAGGTTCCAAGTTCCCTATAGAGGCAAACTCTTATAGTTAATTACATCCCAAATGAAGGGGGGTTACTTGAGAAAACTCTCGATGATGATCAGAGGTACTAGTCCTTAAGAATTCAAAGTTTAGGTTTTCACAGCAGGACGTGGAAAAATAAGTGGGAGAGGATCAAATAGGAACAATTATTTTCAGGAGTCCAAAAGAAGGAAAATGGTAGAGGATGTCACAGATCATGAGGTGGAATCTCAGTGACTTCCCAGGCCATTCTAATGTGTGGCTGAGTTTTGGAGATGATGTTATTTAGGTGTTTAATCATATTAATTTTATTATTTAAGACTTACATTTGCATAATATCTGATTCTGCAAATAGCCACAGAGATATGAGGGTTTACATCGTGCCACACGACAACCTCAGAACCTAAGACGAGTTAGGACTTACGCTGCACAATATGGTTGTATAGGAGCCTAAAGAGGGTATGAGGATTTACGTCGCACTAGGCAAGCTACCTCGAAGTCCTATGAGCTATTATTATTTAATTTTAAAGAGAGGTTTGTTGTTGTGGATTTGTTTGATCTCTCAAATATGTTCTTTTGCAGGTCCTCGACATGCTGCCCACGACGTATGCTCCAAGCTCCTTGTTGAAACAATAATCCTAAGGTCTAAGGTTCAAAAGGTTCTATCAGGTAGGTTTCAATGTTTTGGTTTTGTATGTAAAGTAAATGAATGCAGGTAAGAATCGGTCTTTTTTTAGATGGTACTGACTTTTTTTTACTTATTTATCATGATTCGTAAGGAAATGAAGTAGTTCCAAATAATTTTCTTGATTAATTGATTCAGACAATTCAATATGACCACAAAATGATCATCTTTATCATATCACTCAATTCTTATGTACTATAAATTTGATGTGATTTGTCTTCTCTGGATAAAGAATTTAACTGAATATTTTTTCTTCAGAAAATTAGCAAAATTTTATTTGTAAACAGATGTCCACCACATATACAAGGTCTTGAAACCATGATTTCTTAGTTGAAAGTCTAAGATTCTAACCAGGGGCGGAATTGGTCTCTTTTTTTAGAGGGTACTCGTTGTTTTTCACTTATTTATTATGATTCATTAGGAAATGAAGTAGTTCCAAATAATTTCCTTGATTAATTGATTTAGATGATTCATTATGACCACAAAATGATAATCTTTATCATATCACTCAATTCTTATGTGTCTACAAATTTAATGTGATTTGTCTTCTTTGGATAAAGAATTTAACTGAATATTTTTTTCTTTAGAAAATTAGCAAAATTTTAATTATAAACACACGTCCACCACATATGCAAAGTCTTAAAGACATGATTTTTAGTTGAAAGTCTAAGCTTTCAACCAGGGGGAAAATCAGTTTCTTTTTTTAGAGGGTGCTGACTTTTTTTCACTTATTATGATTCGTAAGAAAATGAAGTAGTTCCAAATAATTTCCTTGATTAATTGATTTAGATGATTCATTATGACCACAAAATGATAATCTTTATCATATCATTCAAATCTTATGTATCTACAGATCTAAAACATTTATACCGCTAAATCTTTCATATCACATGAAAAGTACAATTATCTTAAAAAATGAATATATCATTTCATTTCATGTATCTAAAAATTGATGTTTGATGTTAGATATATAAATACATCAAAATTGACTGATATATAAGTAAATCTTCGTTTTTCTTAAATGCTCATTTCCCATTTTTCTCCCAAGCATTACAAACACAAGAATAACAATAGTTTTAAGTGTACCTTTAGTGGATGCATTAATGGAGTAGTTCTTTTTTTTTAGTACAGGATATTAAATTTATTAATCTCATCAAACGAGAGCTTAGTTTGAAGGCGCAATTAATTCACAATTAATCATGCGGTCAGTCATCTCCATGGCCAGGATCTCCTCTTCCTCGTCAAAGCTCTTCCATCCTCCACCACACCTTTTCATCTTCCAAACTACCACCTCGCCTTTGTGCTCTGCCAAGATTTCACTGTCGTTTGGTGAAAGAGGCAGAGAGGCAAGCGTAATGTAAGGGTGCAAAGTAATATTTTGAGGAAGGGGCAAAAGAAGGAAGTGTCATTTTCATTAGTTTAAACTCCTAAATTCAAGGCCCTGCTTTCAACCAACAAGTTTGGTTTTATGGATTAATCAGATTTATAAGGAGAATTGATCGGTCTTAATATGTTGCTCCCTACTCTATTTTTTATGTTCGGCTCGCATATGAAGTAAATTGGTATCATGGATAATATCGAATCAAACAACAAAATAAAATAAATTCCGATGTTAAATTAAGATGATGACAAAGATACGCAAACATTTTCAAGAAAAAACATTAATAATCGACAAATAATATATGAAAAAATCTATATAAGAATTAAAATCATATGAATTACTGATAAGATGGACTAAACGTCTGTTTGGGATAGCTGAAGCTTATTGAATAATCCGTTGATAAGTGGATTAAAAATAATCTGTTGATAAGCTAGATGCGGTGACTATTACAATTTTTTATTTTTTTAGAAAAATCAGACACCTACCAGAAGTGCAGTGTGAAAACGCTGTTTTCAGCATTTTGAAAACGCATAATCTATCAAAACGCAGTTTACCCAAACCCAAATAGGTCAGGTGCGTTATCAAAACGCTACTGCACAAATAAGCCGCCCCAAATGAACCCTAATAAGAACTTCTCTCAAAAATAAATAAATAAAAGCACTCAAATTCAGTTGGAAGTCCAATATAAATTTGACATGTAAATTATTTTGGTGATTTCCGTCATAACAATTTGCAAACACTCAAATTGAAATTTAAGGAGGAAAAATCCATGACTCCCCGAGTCAATACCAAACAAAATTTGCGTGTATTTCCCGATTCACATTCACAATTTCCAAACCAAATGCGTCTAAACACGAAAAAATTACAAAAATATCCCATCTCGTTGGCCCACCATTGAAAACTACAGGAACAAAAAAAAGGGTAAATTACATCCGCCGAAACCAATCAAAGCCAAAGGGCCCCGGCGTCCCTCAAGATAGGCACCAGCTCGCCGGAGATATGAACCGCCATCAGCCGGTCCAACCCCCCCACCAGACTCCCCCCACTAAAAACCGCCGGCAGCAGGATCTTCTGCTGGGCCCCCTCCCCATCCTCCGCCGCCGCCGCCGTCAGCGATTTGTCCGGCCACCGCTGCCGCCTCCTCGTCGTCGCCAACCTCGCAGACCGTGGGGTTCACCCCTTGCCCCTGCAACAGCCGCCTCACCACGTGTACCATGCAGCACCCCCGCATGCCCAACACCACCACTGGGTTCTCGGCGACCGCTTTGGATAGCATGCCGGCTTTGAAGTCGGCGGCGGGAGTCGCCGGAGACTGCGGTGCACCGGCGGCGGGTGAGGGTGGTGGGACCCGACGTTTTGCAGGGGTGTAGGGGAGTGTTTTTTGCATGTTTGGAGAAGGAAGGGAGAGAAAAAGAAGGGAGTTTTGGAATTGTTTTTCTTGGAATTGAGGGGGTAGTGGGAAGAAGAGATAGACGGTGTGGGGAAGAATAAATAGGAGGTGCGGAAGATAACGTCGAGTGACGATAGCAGTGATGTAAGCCGCTGTTATCTGTGGCCCGGCAAGGTAAGGCCCACCCGCCGGCGAGGCTCATATGGACGGCGACGTCAGCAGCCCGTCGGTCCAATCTTCTAATAAAATTACACGGCCGTTTAAATCAAGCAATATATATTATATATATATATATATATATATATATAGTGCGTGGCGGAAGCTTATTAGATAAGTCTCAACCATTCATAGATATTCAATTACCACACTTTATACATGAAAAAATTCTAACTCAAGACTTGAGTGGACTTAAGATCTTAAAAGAGATTGTTTTACCAACAAAGCACAATATGCACACAAATCAAGCAAAAATTATATTCATATGGATTTTAATACTTAATAATTTTATAATGTAACATTTATCTCAAATAAAAATTATGTGTTCACATGCATGGCACATTATTACTATGTATTTACATATCTCACACTTTCATATTTACACAATGACCGTCAGCTCAAGTAGAGTCGCTCTCATAAATTCTTATTTATTTTCTTAACTACTCTATGATCAATGAAAGAAATCATTCTTCTGATTATACACGAGGCAGTGGCCTAATGGCCAAAAAGAAAAATTTACCCGCATTACTTCAGTCTCAACCTACTCTAAAAATATTTATTTAATATATTCATTTTTTAAAGTTTTAAAGACCTTATTTTTTTAATTATAAAATTTAATACATTTATTTGTGCTTGAAAATATAAAATTTGACAAATGAATAAACTAATATGTTGTCTTAATTTTTAATTATGATTAAATCTACATCCTGATTAAAATATTGGCGTAAATTGAAATCATAAGGTACAATTTGAGGTATTTCTTACTTAATTTTATAAATTATTTTTACAAGTGATTATTTGAAAACGTTGGATTTTTACATTAAACTCAGACCGCGCATCGAACGAGTTACTCGTGGGCAGCGTTACAGGATAAATTATTTATCTGAATAAACACAAGCTGCTCCACACACATCCTAAAATTAGGCACGGTGACTGTAAATATTTCCTTTTTGTTATTAATTTACATTAATGCACAATAATTTTATTAATATTTGCAGTTTGCATCATGGCTCGACGTCATTTGTCATCACCCCACATCATCGCATCGAGAAGACAAGAACAGTCAACCGATAGCTTTTGTAATGGGAATTTAGGAATTTTTTATAAGCGCTGGAGTAAATATATAAGCGCAATAAAATGCCACATGGATGGCATTGTTATAAATGCTGAGAGATAAGCATTAAAATATAAATTATTTAAAAAATAGCAAATTAGAGAATTTGAAAAAGGGCCGACTGCGAACAGTAAAAGCTCAGCCGTACAGCTATTAGGCTCTTCATGTTCCCATTTTGAGTTCGGATGAGTTCAAAATTAACTAAAGGAAAATTGATTTAAAATTACAGGCAGTAGTTGGTTTCAATCTGATCTTAATTCGAGCTAAAATTTAAATTAATTTTCAAGCGATTAGCAATGTTCAAACAATAATGATTAAACTTACAGTCCTAACATCGATAGGATTGTTAAGAATTTTATTTGAGTCGAGCTGGGATTGACTCAGAATCGGCACGAAAAAAACAAATAAAAAATTTTAGCCTGTTCTGAGCTAAAATTTGAATCAATTTTCACATGATTAACTATCTTCGAGCACAATTCACAGCCCTGCCCACTACGACTCATATTTATGTACGAATTAATTTCAAGGGAGGATATGAAATTTGTTAATTTAAATATGAAAGTGGAAGAATTAATTGAATGGTGAGCTGATTGGCTTTGGCTTCTTGTTTACTATAAATGAAGTTAGACTACATGTGTCTTCTAACCATCAAATATCTTTACAACTTATTTTTATTATTACTATATTTAAAAATTAATTTTGAATCAAAATACCCTCTCTTGCATTTACAAACCAAACCATTTAGTAAATAAATTGTTTTGAATTAAATAATATTTGATGAAGCTGCCCGATATGCCACCAACAAATTTTTGTTATTCGGCACGAATCTCAAGGCATGACACAGATCTCGAGATAATTTTTCGAGCAAAGAATGTTCAAATCTTGATAAAAACTCATCCAGAGCTCTGATTTCAACAAACTTATAGTCGAACAGACTGGCTCAATGAGATGAACTTAATGATACTAAAGTCATTTCAATCCAAGTGAAATCAATCTCAGATCAAGTTATTAAATCATTATTGAAAGATTTTCGAACACATTTGAAAAGTCAAACGGTTGTCCAATCTGACAAGTTTATATTTGAATTAAGCATCTCAACAAGAAGAATCCAATGAGCCCAAGATTGTGCAATTTCAACATCGTTAAGACACCCAAATATTTATTAAACATTGTTTGATTGAAGGAAGCTCTCCGGAAATTCCGATTAAAAAGATTCATATTCATGCAGTAATGACACCCAAAATACTATAAATATAGTCACACCCCTCACATGAGGGGAGACACTTGAAGCTTCAAAGAGAGTTGGAAGCTCTGAAAATGAGTTGAAGTTCAGCACCATTCCGACCGTCGTCGATCGTTGATCGCCATCGACTACCGTCGATCGTCGTCGACACCAGTCAATCGCCTTCAGCCACAGTCGACCGTCACCGCCGATCCCCACCAATCATCGTTGATCACCACCAATTATATGTCGTCAGTCATTGTCGTGGGACAAGAGCTCATCACTACTGTTTATGTGTCAACAACAACCTACGTGGTTCACAACTCGTGCAGCTCCCAACTTTGATCCTCGCTGCCTATATATGTCATTCATACTCGCCCCTACGACCTACGTGATCCATAGCTCATGCAACTCCCGACTCCAGCCTTCGCGACATACAAACGTCATTCATACTCGCCCCTACGACCTACTTGGTTCACAGCTCGTGCAGCTCCCGACTCTGGACCCCGCGCCCTACTGACATCATTCATAGTCACCCAAATGACCTACGTGATTATCAACTCATGCAGCTCCCGACTCCAACCTTGACGGCCTACAAACATTATTCATACTCGCCACTACGGCCTACGTGGTTCACAGCTCCTATAACTGTTTACTACGATTTCTTTAACCAATCAACACTTCTGGAGCAACAATTTACAACAGTCACGACGGAATACTACCTCCACAACAATCAACAATGACTCTTGCAATATGTTGTCACCAAGAACTGCAGCCATATTATAGTTATACAACTTTGTAATTTTATCTTCCCTAACTTAAGCGAAGTTTTAAGACAAGAATGAATCTGTGTACTCATCATTCATAGTGGATTATTTCAACTGGGCTAGACGCCATGATTTTTTCCCCTTTTTAAGGATTTTCCACCTAAAAAGTCAAGGTGTCTCCTCCTACTTACTTCTCTTCTATTATCTGTGTGTGTTAAATTCTCGTGCAACGATAAGAAACTAATTCATTACTCTAACACCGTGAATTTTCTGGCACGCATCACTTCTAACTTAATTAAATAAGGTGTGAATAAAATTTCCGAGCAAAGTTCGATTATCAAAATTGGCTCAAACATTAATCAAGTTCGATATTGATTTGAATCGGCTTCAAAAATTATTTAAATATATTTTGAATAAAGTATAACATTATATTTTAACTTTGATCCATTAAAATACAATCACACCATTTATAATACATTAGACTATAACTTTAATATAATTGATGAACCCAAATTTGTTCTTGAATCACACTAGAGAAATTGAGTATAAGAAGAAGAGATAAATATATGGAAAGGTATGGGAGAGATTATATATTTTAATGTTTGATTTCAATAACCACTATTACATTTAATATGCCTATATTTATAGAGGCTAGGACTAGGGTGAAAGGACAATTTCACCCCTGATCCCCTTTATTATATTGACATTCAATCAATTGGCTTCATGGCATGCAATTGATGAATATATGACGGGTTGTCTTGCACCAGTCAACCCCTTCCCGAGCGATCATCGAGTTAGTCAACATTTGGTTTGACTAGCCTCTTAATCTTTTGACCATTGGTTAGCCGCTCGATTGATTTTCAGTCTCTGTTTTGGTTGGCCTCTATGTCAGTTGCTCAACTAAACTTTTGCCTCTAGTTCAGGTGGCCTCTAGGAATCTTGTTTATTCTCATAAAGTCTTATCTGGTATGTTCTACTCTGAGTCGTTTGATCTGTGAAAATTCTGGTCAAATATATTTCTTTATATATATTTTAGTTCCTCAACTCTCTTGTACATTAGTAGGTCATGTCGTTTACTAATTACTTTATTTAAATGACTTCATTGATTGCTACTTTTTTGATATTTGTGTATTAATTGTTATAAATTAAACGCAGATGTCACTCTGAGCTCTTGGGATGGATAAAATTATGAAGTCCCAAATTGATGAGGTCTCTATCAAAGAGTTACTCTCAAAAGAGAGAGGCAGGAAATGTTGTGAGGGTGAGAGAAAAAAGGTGGTGGTGGTCAAGAGAAGTATAGTCTCACCTTCGAGTTAGGTGGGCTTTTTCAGAACAACCCCAAGAAGATGTCAAACTAGTAATTGTGGCCGAAGGCCCATCCGTTTAACCTGACACCACGATACCTGGCTTACCCAAAGGCCGCAACCTTCAAGCAAGCACATGGGTTCCTCTGTTGTCATAAAAAGCTCATCCATAAGAGCCTAAGGTGTAAGAGATGTTAAGGGCTTTAGGCATTTGGCCTCCTAACTAATTGATAATTTTCTTTATTAAGCTTATATCTTTCTGGATTTTTTAATGTTTTTGATGTTCCATATCAAACAAACTTAAACAATGATCCAACAAATTCAATAGTAGATGGGAATAAGTGGTAGAAGGAGATGGTCAACGTGCTAGCTATAGATTTATTTTTCTTGTCTACGACACAAATTTTGAATGTTTTTTTTTCTTGAATAAACAAATATGACATCAAAAGTAATATACTATTTCAAAATATATAAACATAATTTTTTAAGGAATTCAAATACTCAATTAAAGAATTTCATTCAATATTTGATGGGTCCGTGTTTTAAAATATAAAATCTTTCTCTTTCCTAACCCGTATGCTAGATAGAATTTAAATTAATCAGGTTTGCTAAGTTCTTATAAGGGCAAGCTCTTATAATTAATTAAATAAATCTTCTGAGGGAACAAAATAAAACTGGTGTGTGATTTTAGATTTAAGTCTCTTTGCTGCTTTTATCACTTATAATACTAGCCTCTATTATTAGCTCTATCAATTCTACATCTCCCTGTTTTTACCTTTAATGCTTTTATTTTTAGTGTGTTTTATTTATACGTAGTTACACTGTTTTTCTTGTTTTAATTCTACGTTTAACTGTTTTCTACTTTTACTTTTTTTACTTATGGTTTGTACTACTTATACTTCTAGTGTATCATGCTTGTATTTGTTTAAAGTTTATACTTAAATTATTTTTTGAATATAATTATTATGATTAATTATTTTTGTTCTCGTTATAGATGGCTTTAAATGAGAGGGGAGAGCAACCACCATAGAGACTGGTGCGGTCTAGTGTAACGTATCAGAGGAAGAAGCAGGTTGTTTCATGCTCCTCTTTTTATACTAGTAGTGTTATGTCAATAAGCACTACAACCACGACACTAAAACCCATACTGTCTGGAGGTTATATCTAGCATTTTGCTCTGAACATACCTTTTGCTCTTTGTAGGCTAGTTATTCCCATCTGGTCTTCTTCTTCTATTTTGTCAGTTGCTCCCATGGCTTTAGACCCAACCACTCTACCTCCACAACCTTTTTCTAATATGCCAGACTCCTCCACTCGTGTCTCTTCAAGGTAGGACACCTCCAGATGCTTATACATTGATTGAGTTAGAGAGAGTTGTGAGTAACCTAAACTTAGAATAATTTCTATTAGTTGTTTGCTATAATGTATAACTAATATTTGTATTTCAGGTTTTATCCCTCTAGATAGTCGTTGATTGTATCACATATATCATTATGAATACATATGATGATTTGTATATCTCGTGAAGGAAGAATTTGATCATGGTTTAAGATATGTCGTTTAAGAAATTTAAAGTAAAATCAACAGATTTGAAATACAATTATTATTTTAATTTTTTTATTTATACTAATAAACATTAGTTCTTAATTGGTTTGCAGAGGTTTTTCTGTTGAGACTTTGTGCACTATCAATATATCCAGTGGAATTTTGAGGTTCAGGACATGCATCGGTTGGGGAATATGTTTACTTTGATCCGTAAGAAGAGTAAGTGGCATATCTGAATAGGAGAGGATGTATGGGTGGAATTGAACATGATGTGGGCCACTCTGGAATATCAAAGGAAGAGGGAGACGGTCCAATAGAATTGGGGATCCAAGTGTGCGAGCATGGACATCTCACTACACATTGGAGATTCAATCTCGCATACTGAGCACAGAACGAAATTGGTAAGATTCATTAAATACTCGACAATTCATTTAAGCAATTGTCCAACACTTACTTTTTTTACATGTAAACTAAGACACGAGCTTGGACGGAAGGCCACTGTTGTCGAGTTACATACACAGGCACATAGGTGCCTGGAAACACAACAACGGATTGACGATAGATCTCAATTTGTCCAAGTAAAATAATTTTTTATTTATATAATTTACATACAATCTTAGTTTAAAGTACTAATTATTGTTTGGTTTTACTTCCGTAGTAAGACTAAGAACTCTTGAGGGAGACCCATAATCAAAGCTCGATAGTTCTTGGCAGGAGCAGCAGTCAGTCAGTGCCTGTCCAATCTGAGTTAGAGATTCAGAGAGCCGCTGGTGGGAAAAAGAAAAAGGGGATCTTCAACCCGCGCTTAACGATTTGTCTACGAGGTTGAGCACTCTCGTTTGCTCAGAGTTGAAGGTGGTCATAGTTGATGATGAAAATGCTAGGCTTGTGGTCAAATTAGCTAATTTATAAACAAAATACGATGTTGATTTGCATGTCATCGATAACAGAGTTCAGAGGTTGAGGCCACCATTGCGCAAATGCCATGCGATGCAGAACATCATGACAAGTGACCTCTTAGTGATGAGGACGACGACGATGTGGCCCATAGTGGTTTAAGTTATTATGTTTTATTTTATATTTTGATGGAATATTTTGTATATATTTATTTCATAATCTTTTAGGAATTAATGAATTGGATGATTTATTACATTTTCTGAGTTATGTATGATGATTTCATTTGTTATCAATATATATATA